TAAGGATGTTCCATATTGAATCTAGTTTCGTTATGTAACTATTTATAGTATAGTAAATATTTATATCTATTTTTTTACTGAGGATTTGCACCATGTTTATTTGGACTTTATTTGGACTTTGACACATTATTTATTATTTTCTTATTTTTATTTGTTCATTGTAAGTGGTGTTGTTTATAGTAACTGAAAATATATTATTTGGAAAAAGTCAAATTTGCTTCACTGTTCTATTATTTTGTAACATTTGTAACATACCGTATACCGCGAAACCGTCAAACCGTGGTATTGTTTTAGACGATTATCATACCGTAAAAAATTCATACCGTTACAACCCTATTCAGCAGGTGAAGCCCAGCTCATGTACTTGCTAAAACAACATTTCAGTTTTGCACATTTAATGCTAAATGTCTGAAACCTTCCTACTGCACCTTTTAAATAATCTGTGCATCAATTAAAATGACTAAAACGTAAGGTTATAATTTGCATAAATTAAAAAAAAAAGTTGAAACCTGATTAACTCAGATTTGTTGTCATGACTTTTTGATCATTTTTTTTTGCACTCGCACTAAATTGCTTTGTTAAAAAACGGCTTATTTTGTTCTGTGTACTTAAGGGCTCTATTTTAAGCCTTTTTATAAATTCACTAAATGCAACACACCTAATTGCATATTAGCAGGTCAACCATGAAGCTGGAAAATAAGTTCAAATCTTTTTGTTTCTGATGGTATGCATAATTATTTGTTCAAAATAAACATTCACGAGTCGAAGCCAAACTTAATTAACTAAACAACATTCTATTTTTAAGCCTTTGATTCATACAGTGTATGCGTGTTATTGCACATTAACAGGTTACCAGAAAATGTCTAAACTGGGTGTTTCTGTAGGTTTGCATAATTAATTGTTCACTAAAAAGAAGCACGCATGAGCCTAAATAATCAGATTCAATTAAATTCAAACTCTTTCACAAGGACGAGCATGAAATATAAGCCGTACATTGCTTATGCGCTTTGCTCTTTTTTTGCAGCACTTGAAGTGCAAATGAAAACTTCACACAGTGAACAGAACTGTTCTGCCAGGGAAAAAGTAAATAAAATAAAAGTTGAAACCTGATTAACTCACTAAAATAAGTCAAAGTAACATAATAACACTTTGTCCTGGCTTCTTTTGTTTTGGTGTACCTCAGGGCTCTATTTTAAAATCCAAATGTTTAGACAAAATAAAGCGCAGAAGTCTAATTGCTCATTAGCATCCTAACACGTGTTGTCCTGACTTTGATCATTATACTAAATTTCTTAGTTGAAAAACAGCTTCTTTTTTTCTGGTGTACCTCAGGGCTCTATTTTAAGCCCTTTTGTAAATTCACTAAATGCAATACATCTAATTACATATTAAGCCAGAAAAAATGTTCAAATCTTTTCGTTTCAAATGGTATGCATAATTATTTGTTCAAAAAAAACATTTACGAGTCAAAGCCAAACTTAATTAACTAAGGAACGTTCTATTTCAATTAAATTCACTTGATGTCTGTTTCTCTAGCGCTTTACAATGTAGATTGTGTCAAAGCAGCTGAACACAGAAGTTCAAGTAAACTGAAACTGTCAGTCTAGTTTTCAGAGTTCAGTTTAGTTCAGTTCAGTGTGGTTTAATTTTCACTGTTGAAAATGAAAGTCCAAACACTGAAGAGCAAATCCATCAATGCACAGCTCCACAAGTCCCAAACCAAGCAAACCCATGGCGAGGAACAAACTTCACCAATTAAACAAAGTGAAGGGAATAAAACCTTTAGAGAAACCAGGCTCAGTTGGAAATGACCATTTCTCCTCTGGCTAAACTTCTTGTGCAGAGCTGCAGACTAGGCGGCTTATTTGAAGCTCTTGATTCATTCTTTAAATACAGTATAATTACACATTAACAAACCTGAGTGTTTCTATAGGTTTGCGTAATTTATTATTCACTAAAAAGAAGCACGCATGATCCTAAATAATCAGATTCAATTAAATTTAAACACTTTCACTAGGGTGAGCATATAGTATAAACCTTACATTGCCAATGTGTTTTGCTCTTTTTTTTTTTCTTTTTTTTTTTGCAGCACTTGAAGTGCAAATGAAAACTTCACACAATGGACAGAACTGTTCTGCAAGGGAAAAAGTAAATAAAATAAAACATGAAACCTGATTAACTCACTAAAATAAGTCAAAGTAACATAATAACACATGTTGCATGTTGTCCCGACTTTGATTATTTTTATTTTTATTTTTTGCACTTACTCTAAATTTCTTTGTTGAAAAACTGCTTCTTTTGTTTTGGTGTACCTCAGGGCTCTATTTTAAGCCCTTTTGCTTAAAATAATTCATTTCATTCTTTAAATACAGTATAATTACACATTAACAAACCTGAGTGTTTCTATAGATTTGCATAATTTATTATTCACTAAAAAGAAGCACGCATGAACCTAAATAATTAGATTCAATTAAATTTAAACACTTCCACAAGGGCGAGCATGAAATATAAGCCTTAAATTGCGAATGTGTTTTGCTCTTTTTTTCTTCTTTTTTTTGCAGCACTTGAAGTGCAAATGAAAACTTCACACAATTAACAGAACTGTTCTGGAAGGGAAAAGTAAATAAAATAAAAGTTGAAACCTGATTAACTCACTAAAATAAGTCAAAGTAACATAATAACACATGTTGCACATGTTGTCCCGACTTTGATTATTTTTTTTTTGCACTTACTCTAAATTTCTTTGTTGAAAAACTGCGTCTTTTGTTTTGGTGTACCTCAGGGCTCTATTTTAAAACCCTAATTTTTTGACAGAATAAATTGCAGAAGTCTAATTGCTAATTAGCATCCTAACACGTGTTGTCCTGACTTTGATCATTATGTTAAATTTCTATGTTAAAAAAACTGCTTCTTTTGTTTTGGTGTACCTCAGGGCTCTATTTTAAGCCCTTTTTCATTCTTTAAGTACAGTATAATTACACATTAACAAACCTGGGTGTTTCTATAGATTTGCATAATTTATTATTCACTAAAAAGAAGCACGCATGAACCTAAATAATCAGATTCAATTAAATTTAAACACTTTCACAAGGGCGAGCATGAAATATAAACCTTACATTGCCAATGTGTTTTGCTCTTTTTTATTTTTTGCAGCACTTGAAGTGCAAATGAAAACTTCACACAGTGAACAGATCTGTTCTGGAAGGGAAAAAGGTCATGTGTTTTTACTTGTGTTGGCAATTATTTAGTCAGAGAAATGCTTCTCGTAAGAAGCGTAGCCTAAAATTCACACAGCCGCAAAATAAATGGCCTTTTGCAAGTGTGAACACTCTTCCAAAGTTAAGTGAATATTAATAGATGTCCATTGATAATTCATGGGTTAAAGATGAAAAGCTGAATCCAGCTTTAAATTTTGCTTTTGAAGCAGATCCCAAAATGCGATCTTTGACCCACATTCATTTCTGTTAATCTTTCGGCTGTAGTAATTTCCTAGATCAGTAGCTGTTAGTTCTGGCTTTTGGTTTTCTTTAATAACGCGTGACGGTTTGATTGCTTATGTCAGATGTCACAACATTTCTTTTTTAGTCATCCTTATTCCATCTCTTAATAGCCTTGTTCTCAATTCTCGTTTCTTAATTATAAAATAAATGAACACATCCGTGCATCACATCTGCTTTCATTTACCTGTCACGCAGATGAAGTCGTATAATGGCAGATTTTCTCCTCTTTGGTTATTTCTTTTCTTTCAGTCACTCGGTCAAGAGACGGCAACTCCTAAAAATAAACAGAATGTACTTGTCATATGATTGTTAGCTAGCGGCTATAATCAGACACAGAGCTGAACATGTAATCCGTCAAAGATCATAACAAAGAAGAATATTTAAAGAGGTCACATATGGGGTCAGCTTTATCGCTTAAATTCTCCCCCAAGGACCACTTAGGGTCGTCAAGGTTTTCTTACACCAAAAACCATTGTAGTATAGTTACTCATGACCATTCTCCATCCCCCTCTTTCAAACCTTCAGAATTAAATGGGTCATTTTTTTTTCTGTGTCTGTGCTTTTGCACATGATTCCTGTCCATGATTTGTTCAGCACGGTCTTAAAACCTTTCTGAGAGAACTAAATCATGTGATTGATTGAATTCTTAGTTTTTTAATTTGTTGAAAGCACAATAATACGCAGTTATATTGGTGGTTCTCTAAAAGTAAAAACATAAAAACCACATTAAAATAATGCTAAATAAATAGTGAGGGAAAACACAAATATATTTTGGTTTATAATATTATTTGGTGGAACAACTCTGATTTGTCGAAATAACACATATTACATGATTTTAGACATTTACATACACTCATTGCAGGAATTTTACTTAATGTGTTAAAAAAAATATATATATATATATATACACATATGTATGGATGGATGTATATATATATACATATATATATATATATATATACATATATATATATATATATATATATATATATATATATATATATATATATATATATATATACATCCATCCATACATATGTGTATATATATATATATATTTTTTTTTTTAACACATTAAGTGTATATATATATGTATATATATATATATATATATATATATATATATATATATATGTTTTAAGACCTTCTTTTAATTCTCAACATACACAGCACATCAGTCTGATTACACATTAGTGGATCAACCATAAAGCTAGAAAATGTTCAAACCGTCTGTTTTAAGTCATACATAAAGCTTAACTCGGAAAAATAAATCATGAATCATTCAATTTAGTTCAATTGTAAACCCTTTGTTTGCATCAAGCCTGTTATACAAACCGTACATTACTAATGCAGTTCAGTCTATTAATAAAAACTACAATAGTTACTCATGCAAAACACAAATATTATCATTATTATTAATAACTGGCTGATATGTTTGCTGTCATGTTTATTTACTGCTTGATAGCTACTTAACTAACACCAGTTGTTTTGCTCTTGCAGATTGCGAGCCTGAGGGTGTGTCAGATTGGTCGTTTAATGAAAATTGTCTCTTTTGCTGCTTAAGACGTGAAAAAGTGAAGGTAATTAATCTCGCTCTTGTTTTTTTTCTTATCCATCTTAATTTCCACAAACAATGCATTAGCAATTGCACATTTCACCTCGAGTCATGCTATGTTTATAACCATGCCGCGCTTTAAATGCACGTATATGTAGTAGCTGGGTCATTTGCTCAGAGAAAACAGAGTAGACGACGCTCATTAATGCACGGAATGTTCATCAGTCAAATGACAGGTAATTATTATTATAGCGCTTTGGTAATCTTTAGATGTGACAGACGAATCGCAAATTAACTGCAATGCTGGGAATCATCCGCCCTGGGGACTTTCTCTACAACAAACCTCAAACGATTCAGCATATTTTGCCTTCTTTGAAATTGAAATGTGCAGCTTTTGTGTTAAAATGTGCAGTTTTTTTTTTTTTTTAAGCTACAAAACAAATCTGACAGGTACTTTCATACAACATGGCTATATTTCACTGAACATACTGCAAGTAAAATCTAGGTGCTCACTAGAAACTTTTGTCGAGACTAATTTCGATGTCAAGACAAAGTTTGAAGCCTGACCTAAAAGTTAAAATAAGTTTTAAAGGCTTGGCATATGAATAAGTATTAGTTTTAAAGCCTGCAATTGAAGATTTGAAGGTCAGTGCTGTCTATCAGACAGAGTAATCTTCTTTTTTTCTCTCCCTCCAGGAAAATTTGGTTGGTCTAAACAACCAAGTGTTATCAGAAGCGGACGGCTTCAATCAAGAGCAGTCCAATATTAACAAACTTGAGAAGCAAGCAGAGGATTTCCTCAATGTTGTCTTCTATAGAAAGGGTAAGATCATCTTTTTGGACTTTATGGGCCCTATCATACACCCGGCGCAGTGTGGCGCAAGGCGTGACACAGTAGTCTTTTGGTAGTTTCAGCTTGGCGCAAGAGTGGTTTTGAGTCGTTGCGCTACGCTGTTTAAATAGCAAATGCATTAGCGCTCATTTGTGCCCCCATAGGCGTTGTGGTCTAAAAAGGAGTTTTAAAAGGCGTTCTGAGTCGGACCGCTGGCGCGTTGCTATTTTGAGAATCTAAAATAGATTTTTCATTAGACCAAAACAAACCCGGTCTAAACTCCGGCGCCTCGCTTACACACTGCTTAATACGCACAAGAGAGCAATAGGCAAATATCTTTACATATGAAAAAATTTAAATATAAAAGATAGATATAGAATATAATAAGAATAGATATAGGATATAAATATAAAGGATTCAAATATTACAAAATATATTTTCTAGCCTATATAAATATGAAAAATCACTGCTTTTATGTCTTCTTCATCTCAGGAGGCTTTTTCAGTTCATTCATAACAATTTGCTTTTGTATAATGTTATTATTATTAGCAGTATTATTTATTATATCCATATTTATATTTGTTTTATTAAAAACAAGCTCAGATTTGCCCACCTGTCAGGTTTCAGACCATATGGGGCATGGCAGGTGTATTTGGAAATAACTCAGTATTTTGACCACACTTAGTCATTATTGTTCATTTATTCGTTTGCTGGAAATTAGAACTGAATTTAGAAATAGTTTTGAAACGAATCTTTGCGCTTAACAAACGAAATTAATTATTTATAGGCTAATCAATGTCTGTGCGTAAAGGTTTCAGTATCCAAGAGCGAAAGTGAAAGTAGATCCATTATCTCTCATTCTCATGCAGTAGATGCTCTGTTTAACAGTTTTCTGTTAAAAAACTGTAAACTGTGAACTGTTTGCTTGTGAAATGCTCATTTTTTCCACTTAGACTTACTTTGCGTCCTGTAAATAGCGAATGCGCTCTTGGCGCGACGCAGCTGGGTCTTAAAGGTAATGGGAGATGAGACTCTAATTGGTTTATTCTCAAAACACAACTATAACTCGTTAAGAAAATAAACTCAACCCTTTTAGACCATGCGCTACAGCGCAAGGCAGATTTCCCGTCCTTAAATTAGCAAAAACGCGTCCTGACACGCCCTGAAAGCGTTTGCGCTCTGCGCATGGACCGTCAAAATAGAGCCCTAAAAGTGCATTACAAATAGGGCTGCAACAACTAATCTATTAAATCGATCAAAATCGATTATTAAAAGCACTGGCAACGAATTTTTATAATCGATTCACTGTGTTGCGCAATGCGGGGATGCTTGATTATTAAACAACTTTAGTGCAGCAGGGAGCGGAGTGAACACACTCTGCCTCTCCTGCGCACTGATGTTAGCATAGTTTGGCGCCTCGGACAGGACTGAGTGTGGAGGTAACGTTAGAGGAAATATACAGGTCCTTCTCAAAAAATGAGCATATTGTGATAAAGTTCATTATTTTCTGTAATGTACTGATGAACATTAGACTTTCATATATTTTAGATTCATTACACACAACTGAAATAGTTCAAGCCTTTTATTGTTTTAATATTGATGATTTTGGCATACAGCTCATGAAAACCCAAGATTCCTACCTCAAAAAATTTGCACATTTCAGCCGACCAATAAAAGAAAAGTGTTTTAATACGAAAAAAAGTCAACCTTCAAATAATTATGTTCAGTTATGCACTCAATACTTGGTCGGGAATCCTTTTGACTGCTTCAATGCGGCGTGGCATGGAAGCAATCAGCCTGTGGCACTGCTGAGGTGTTATGGAGGCCCGGGATGCTTCCATAGCGGCCTTAAGCTCATCCTCAGTGTTGGGTCAATATCCCACAGATTCCCTATGAGGTTCAGGTCAGGAGAGTTGGCAGGCCAATTGAACACAGTAATACTATAATTAGTAAATCATTTACAGTGGTTTTGGCACTGTGAGCAGGTGCCAGGTCGTGCTGAAAAATGAAATCTTCATCTCCTTAAAGCTTTTCGGCAGATGGAAGCGTGAAGTGTATCCCCTGATAGCTAGAAAATATATCTTGAAAAATATCTAGTAAAATATAATGTGCTGTCATCATAGCAAAGATAAAGATAAAAGAAATCAGTTATTAGAAAAGAGTTATTAAATATGTTATGTTTAAACTGCGCTTTAAGCATCTTCACTGTATTTTTTATTTTATTATTGATAAATAATAACAGTCGGCAGCAGCAGGAGTATCGCACGCTGTCACTTTAAGAATAGTGCGGCTTTGATATGGTTTCTCTTTCTCGTGTCTTTTGATTCTCAACTTGTTTGTTTATTACACAATTGAGGGTTAATATAAATAATCACTAAACACCGCGCTCTGACACAAATGTGCCTGTGTTTGACCATTACAGCGCTCGCATTAAGATGGCGTTAGATGTGTGTGTTCTCTGCTGTCCGAGGCTACACACACAACAGCACGTGCTCTTTCGTGCTTTTAAAAACATTAAGGATGCGCATCCCGTGCTGCAAAAGCTACATTACAGCACATGCTTTTAGTCATTTTCACGTGGAACTGAGCTTTGCAGAGCAACACGTGTACAACTGGAAAGGGGGCGGTATGCGATGGCTTAATTGTTTATCTCGATTAATGGTTTTTCATAATCGTTAAAAGCCAAAATCGAAATCAGATTTTCGATTAGTTGCACAGCCCTACTACGGTGTAATGTTTTAGCTGTGTATTTAAATATGTTGCGTCCTTTGTTTACATTCTCTTGCTTGTGTATGCGCTGGTGATAATTCTCTGTAAACCAATAGCATTCAGCTGCCTTTTGGTGCCATTTTGTCATGCTAGGTACCCTTTGCGAAGGGTACGGTTAGCTTTTATGGACGTTTCCACCGTCAAAATGTACCTAACGAACTGTACCGTGCTATACCACTCCTTGGAAATAGCCAAATAGATTACCAAACAGCAATCCTCCACAATTAACTCAACCGCTAAAATGCCAAAACCTTCTCTGCTGCAGCTTTAAATAAACAGTTTAGTTTATGAAACATGTTTTACACCCTTTATTCTTGTCCACTCAAACTAAATTTTGGTTAAAACAAACGCAGTTTTTGTTCTGGTGTACCTCAGGGCTCTATTTTAAGCCCTTAATAATTTCGAAATTCCCAATGTTTGATGTTCTAGTCTAACTCCTCATTAGCCGGTCAATCATATAATCAAGTAATCAGTTTAACCTGTGCGTTCGTGAAGGTATAAATAATAGTGTTCAAAGGAACGCTTTGTTAGCATAAATCATCAAATTCAATCACACTTCAACACATTTCTCCAATGAATAAGCCTGGAATTTAAAGGTTAAACATTGCCATTGCTTACATTGCTGGCAGCCTGTGTTTGATGCTTTTATTTGTTTTACTCTAAAGGAAACCGTCTTTCTTTTTTTGAAGTCTGCGACTCTTTACTGCCCTGTAGGAAATGTTTTCACAGGCTTGTCTGCCAAATCCAGAGGCTTTGATTTTAACAATGGGAGTAACCAAGTGGATTGTGAAACCTGTATTACGCAATAACACAGCGTTGTAAGATTTAAAATGTATAATATGGGGACATTTATGCAAGAGGTACTTCTAGTGAAATATTAACTTGTATTGCATCCATGTTCACCTGGCAGTTCAGGAATAATTTAGCAAAATACATAATTAGGGATGTATGTGGAGCGACAGACTCCTGCTTTCTAGACGCACCTACTGGTTGAAAGAATGCTGCGAGCGCCCTACACTGAGAAAAAAAAATACAAATGAAAAATACCAAACTATTGTGTAATATAGTTGATCAAAAGCCTTTCAGACAGCGGTTCAGCAGCCTTTAAATACATTTCTTTAATGTAAAAGGGAAATACGTAGCTATTATGTAACTTAGATTAACATTAGACAAATACTAATTTATTTATTCATTTATATATAGTTTTTTTATTTATTTAATTTATTTTAATTTAATTTTATTTATTCATTATTTTTATTTATTTATTTATTTATTTTTATTAATTAATTAATTAATTTTTAATTCATTTATTTAAATTTTATATTTTCATTTATTTTTAATTTATTTATTTTAATTAAATTTATTTATTTTAATAAATTTTTTATTTATTTAATTTACTTATTTTAAATTAATTAATTTAAATGTTATATTTTCATTTATTTTTAATGAATCTAATTTAATTAAATTTATTTGTTTTAATAAATGTTTTATTCATTTACATTTAATTAATTCATTTTAAATTAATTTATTTAAGTTTTATATTTTCATTTATTTTTAATTTGTTTATTTTAATTTAATTAATTTTTTTCTTTTATTTATTTTTTAATTTATTTATTGTAATTTATTTTGTTTATTAAAAAATTATCAATACATTTTTATTGTTTTACATTTTATTTATTTCAAATTTATTTGATTAATTTTTTATTAATATTTATTTTCAGTGTAAAATTATTACTTATGTTTAAATGCCAAAACTTTTTCACATATATTTAAGTCCAAAGAGAATTGGACTATTGTTTTTTTTTTTATTATTATTTTGTGTCGTATTATTTGGTTACTGAGCATTAATAAATAACACTCATGTAACACTCATGAATGCATAATAATTGTGATAACCGTGATTATTCCTCAGACTATAAATCGCACAACCAAAATCTATAATCGCTGCACCCCGATACATAATATGTTTCTTCTAATGTGTGTGTTTTTAGTATGACCCTAAAATAGATCTTCCTACAGTGCTTCCCACAGGTAGCCGGATTGAAACACACCATTTACCCACATCACAGTAACTATATGCGACAAACTAATCTCAGCAATAATTTTATTTATCATACACTGTTATATACTGTTTCGTTTCAATATTGCAATTGTGATTTTCGAAAGTATTACATCACTTCGTAAACGTTTATTATTAGCATTCGTTGGGTCTCCCCTTACTGTTTGATATAGTGATTGGACCCGTAAGCCGATTCGCACGACGTCACCTTTAACAAGTGGATATTGGTACAATAGTAAACTTTTTCTACAAATAATTAAGAGAATAAAGACATACGTTGACAACATAAAAATCCATCAAAACAGAGTTAGTACATCTTGTCAGCTTCAAATGTCTATCAGAATGATCTACCACATTGAATAAGGATGAAAAAACAGTCGTAGCACATATTGTCAGCTTCAAATGTCTATCGAAATTAACTACTACTCTATTGAAAAATGCAGAAAAAAACGTAGCAGCTTTAACCCTAGTATGGTGTTCCGGTCTGTGAGACCCGTTTTCAGTTTTTTTCAAAAGAAAAATTACCCAATTAATTATTTTTTCAACCTGAAATTCACTGGCTTTGGCTTATTTTCTGTGAAGAACATAAATCCGAACAAATTTTCCCCTCACACATTTACATTACATACAAGGTGTTTGGGTCCACTAGACCCAGGTCTAATAAAAGTCTTGAAAGTGTAGGTCCAGTGTTCCTACATTTTGTCCTCCTTTCTGGTGCTGCTGTTTTCTTCTCCTCCCCTCAATCGGCAACCTCCTGCTCTCCCTCAGGAAGCCAATACGGAAGTAACTAAAACTGCAATTCATCCGAGATTCCGCTAGTCCTGGCCGCTCCTGGCTCCAAAACAGAGCAAATTTCAATTGAGCCCACTGTTAGAATGGCCAACTTTACAGCAGAAAAAAAGGTGTTTACAGCCTGGTACAAAAAAAGATTTTGGTTAATACAGCTAATATTACCCTTCATGACAACTGTGAGGGGGTGAATTTTTTTATAACTCATCCGTTTTCTTTATATTAAGTTATATTAAGTTTGCATAATTAAGGGCGTGGCCACTTGAGTGACAGCTAGGTCTCGTTGGTCGCCGTCACGTCACCTCAGCTGAATCCAGCAGATTAGCCACTGAACTCGACATATTTATCATATTTCTGTGTTGTTTTTTGTGGCTTTACACAGTCAACTGCCTTTTGGACTTGTTTCCTACAATTATTAGATGGCATGGCATGCTGTGGGAACTTAATTGTGCTCACAAACCATTCACGTGGCCTCTGTTTCGCATGTGAGTAAAGATATATACTTATATACCATCTCTATACATGTATCTGTTTTATTTAAGATCATTTATCGTTTATATATATATTTAGAGCTGTAATGCACTCCAGAATCTGATGAATTGATTAGCTGTAGGCTCTAGAACCGTTATCTGAAGCGTTGTCATACAGTCTAATGCTGGATTTCATTAATATGCTGGATTTCATCCCCTTTTTGATACAGTCCAAGCGTGTGCAAGTTCTTTTAGTACAAGATTAATTCAACCCCGGTGCTACAGAGAAAGATACAGGAAGTCTTTTTTACCAACAGTGATCAGATTGTATAACCAAAGTCATACCAGATGAATTGTGCTGAACCTGAATTAGATATTAGATATGTACAAGTGTTTACTCGTTGTTTTTGGAACCAAGGTGTGCAGTATGAAATGTAATTTTATTATTGTTTTTATATGTATGTAACTTATTTATCTATTTTTAGTATGGAGAGCTCTGCTGTGACATGTGAATTTCCCTCCGGGGATTAATAAAGCCAAACTAATAGTCTTACATTACCTAACACAGACTATATCTGAAGTGTTTGGAAGTAATTCGCGTTTTCTTCCTGTTAAAAAACATCATAAGAACAATGTTTAGTGGCTTAATGTAGTACTACAGTATTTTTAAAAGTCTAAACACTTTATTGATATAGTTTACAACCAAGCACAAGTGGTCAGAACACAAACGAGTCACAGGTGATAAAGTATTAAGCGTTCTCCCAAAGTAAAGTGTGTCTGAACCAGGTCCAAGCTAAATGCTAGCAGGTGTCTGTAGCTCCGCTCACTCTCCGCCTCTTTGCCCTTGTTTGGTATCCCGCCGTGGGTGTGATGACGCGTGACTAAAATGGCGACGGTTGGCCGCGCCTACTTGTGGCTTCTTTTGCGCTCTTCAGAAACCTATGTGTGACGTCACGGATACTACGTCCATATATTTTACAGTCTATGGTAAATACATTATATTAAAGACAGCAATAGCGTCAGATGCAGCAGATTGATTTTATAACACCAGCCTAAACTTTCTGGCCCATTTACAGCACTGACATACATTAAAAAAATTAAACGAAGAATAGACTTTGGTCTATTGGTGTGTGAGTGCACCATTGCATGCAAGTTTTCTGTATTTATAACCACCTCAGAAGATATTGGGGGTCGCGAGTCAAAAGTTTGGGAACCCCTGCACTAGACCAAGGTCTAATAAAAGTCTTGAAAGTGTAGGTCCAGTGTTCCCACACTCTATCCTCCTCCTTTCTGGTGCTGCTGTTTTCTTCCCCTCCCCCTCCCGCTCCAGCACAAAGTTGCAACATTGTTGCAAATTCAACTATCAACACTGTCTGCTCTTACATTCCCGCACATTTTACCCTCTCTCTTGTGGGAACCAAGCTTTATTTTCTCATACCCTGTCCCATCTGCAAATTAGGGGCTATAGTACTATAAATAAGACTTTGCCAGTGTGGTTCCTTATCACAACTGATCAAGATGGCCAGAAGATTATCTGCTGCAAGGGCCTTGCAATCGATTGTGCAAGAGAGAGGAGCTTCTGATGATGATGTCGAGGAAGAGGTTTCAGAACATGAGAATCACATTTCTAAAAATTCTGAGTTTGACAGCGTTTTTGAAGAAGAGGATGAGGTTGAGCACCATTTAGTAACAAAACGAAGACGAGTACCCCATCAGCAGCCAGCTTCATTACCAGCTGAAAGTGTAGGTCCAGGGCCTTGCAATTGATTGTGGGAGACAGAGGAGCTTCTGATGATGATGTTCATGACCATGATGGGAACAATACGAAAAAGCAAATCTGTTCATAACATTAATAAATAAAAAAATAAACGAGAGGCACATTAATTCATCAATATGATCTAACAAAGGTAAAGGGGAAAAATTAACCATGTTTGCTGTGCATTTGGCTTGTAATTGGGATTAAGTAAACATTTGTTGAGTAATTCAACATAAAGTTGTTTGATAGTGTTAATTTGGAAAGCCAAAACTCTAGGAGAGTGGTCACCAAACTTGTTCCTGGAGGGCCGGTGTCCTGCAGATTTTAGCTTTAATCCTAATCAAACACACCTAAACAAGCTAATCAAGCTCTTACTAGGTATACTTGAAACATCCAGGCAGGTGTGTTGAGGCAAGTTGGAGATAAACCCTGCAGGGACACCGGCCCTCCAGGACCAGGATTGGTGACCCCTGCTCTAGGAGGTCCACCAGATCCATGAACACTGGCTGAGTAACCAAAATACGAACACCACACAAGAGTTAGATGTCTATCAGAGTGCACTACTGCCTTATTATTTTATTTAATTAGTTTTAGATTTATTTATTTATTACAGTGGTTGTTCATTCCGATTGACATTTAAAGTTGACAAAATGAGCTACCCCTGTTTTCACACCCTTCTTTAAGGAGGTAGTTCATTCCGATAGACATTTAAAGCTGACAAGATGTGCTAACCCTGTTTTTTTTAATGAAATATGACAGATTACCGATAGCACATTCTGATTAGGTAGCACAGATCGTCAGAACACTGGCTTTATAGAAGAATGAATACTAATATCTTGAAAAATATCTAGTTAAATAGTATTTAGTCATGATGGCAAAGATAAAATAAATCAGTTTTTAGGAATTAGTTATTAAAACTATTATGTTTTGAAATGTGTTGAAAAAATCTCTCCGTTAAAAAGGAATTGGGGAAAAAAATAATACTTATATGTATTAAATAATTAATAACATGCAGAAAGAATAACACTGACTCGTTTTATCATTTCAGACCTCCCAAGATTTACAGACCCCCACATTCCTCTAGTGGCTCGTGAGATCATGCAGCGAATGATCCGACAGTTCGCTGCCGAATATACCTCAAAAACCAGCTCAACTCAGGACGTACCCCAACCCCAGTCCCAGCCCAACGGCACCAAGGACCAAAGCCTGCCGAAAGCGCCCTCGCTGGAGCCGGACGCCGGTACCGGCACCGCTGCCTCCGCACAGAACCCCGTCCTCAGCAAACTTCTCATGGCAGACCAGGACTCGCCGCTGGACCTCACCGTCAAAAAACCAGACTCAGAGCCCAGCGAACAAGGTCAGAATCGCATTTACTATGTGCAGGGTTCGTACGGGTGCTGGAAATTCTGGAAAATGTTTGATTTTTAATATAGTGTTTTCAAGGTTATAAAAGTGCTTGGATTTTGGAGAACGTGCCTGATCCTGCTTGAGTTTGAAATTGCAGGGCTCGAAACTTCGACTGTTTTAGTTGCATATGCGCCCAAACTCTTATCTATGCAAGCTCAAAATATATTTGGCAGCATTTGTGCATAAAATTGTTGGTGTGCGATAGGGCTGGGTATCATTCCAAAACTTTCGATACCGATACCCTGAATTCGATACCGGTTCCGAACGATACTTTTTTCGATACTTTTATTTTAAGAAATATATTTTATCAAGACTAAATAACTCATTAGCCCCTTTCACACAGTGGTACCGGTAAATATCCGGAAAATTTCCGGAACGACTTTACCGGTAAATTCAAAAAAGCGTTGTTCACACAGGCGAGGACGTTACGGAATTTTTCCGGAAAAGAGTATTCACACATCCATCGCAAAATGCCGGTAAATTCTGACATCATTAACCAGAAATGAGCTCTAAACGGCTGCGCTTGTGTTTGTAAACATTTGACTACATTACAAACTCTTCGGATGGATCAGTATTGAGTACAACTCCAATGAAAACATAGAGAAACACTTTCGCACGTCGAGATGTTCAAGATATGTGTGTGTGCTGGCACTATGGGCGCTCACGGGCACACGCAAAGCTTGAAGGTAAACAAACAACGGATTATCATAAACATTTTATCGATAATTATTTACACAGTTAGTATTAAGAAGGAACATAGAAACGTTATCTGACTAACATTTAGCAGCTAAATATGCTTCTGACTGTTCTGATTGCCTGAAGTAGACGTCTCACGTCAGCACGTTCTAGACGTGCACGCGCTCTTTCCAGCAATCTTCCTTCTCTATTCACACAGCGCAGCATTCCGGCAAAATACCGGTAATGTTACAACTTCTCTTTCCGGAAAATAGCCAGAACGAATTTACCGGTATTTTCAAAAAGGGCCTGTTCACACATACACACCTTTCCGGAAAATTGCGGGTAATTTTCCGGAAAGGTCTGTATGTGTGAAAGGGGCTATAATCTCTGAGAAACTTTGGTTTTACTTTTTCAGGATGTTTGGGACACTTTTCACAGCAGGATTATCTCTAAGACCAATAAACAAAGGAACAAAAGCACAAAATGAACAAAGGGTAGTTAACACAATATATTAGTGCAAACAGTTTTTATAAAGTTCAAGCAGTTTTAAGTCAATCAATTTTGAGTATTTGTGAGGCTTACTGCTGCGTGAAGGTTTAGTTCACCCAAAAATTTTAATTCTGTCATTAATTATCTTCAAATGAAGATATTTTGGATTTAATCCAAGAGCTTTCTGATCCTCCCATAGATAAATCAATAAATAAAGTTATTTTTGTTTACTTTGCACACAGGAGTATACTCGCAGCTTCGTATAATTATGATTGAACCACTTATATCACATGGACTTATTTTGACTGTTTTTTGGTTTCTTTCTGGGCATTGAAAAATGCATATCCAGTAAATCCCAATTCCGATTTGTTGTAACGTGTAAACGGACAAGCAAAAAAAATCTGATATAGGCAACAAATCGTAATTGCAAATGCAAAACGCGCCTAACCAGGCACGTTGACAAGATTATACCCTTGGGTATCGAAATTTGGTACCGAACGAAAATGATTTTTTCGATACTCCATAGTATCGAGACGATTCGGTCGGTGCTTAAAAAGTATCGAACTCGATACCCAGCCCTAGTGTGTGACCAGTTTTCATTACAAAGTGTTCACCAAATGTGCATATTTAGGAGACATTCACGCAGATTTTTTTCTAAAAGCGCAGCACTAAGTAATAGTTTAAAACAGTTGACGCATAACTTATTATTTGCAAATGTCATCTTAATAGCAACAACAGTCTGTTCATTTGCTGAAATATTAGTTTAATCTTTGTGAATGCAAGCCCTTTTGCGATGGTAAACGCACTGCAGTTGCACGACAACATTGTGACGATTAAATGAAGGGTTAAATAGAACATCTCCTGATTAAAATGTGTGGCAAACGCTGCAACCTGCAAACTCCATCCCTCAGGCTTTACAGTGAATGGCTCGGACCCATAAGGGTTTAATTTGTTAATCGAATTTCGAATAGCAATGCACATGAAATAGCATGAACGACTGGTCATGAAAGTTTTGTGGTTCACCCAAACAAACTCTTGACTGTAGGAAAGAGACCAAAGCTTAAAAAGATATCCAATAACTGAACTTTTTTTAATTATTTATCATTTTTTTTTACCATTTTTGGGTGAACTATCCCAATAAATCCATGTTCAAAAGTATTCAACAATTTAAGTTTAAATGTCATATTGTGTTTTTTTTAAATAGCACTATTTTACAGCATATCAATATAATTTACAGCAGTGGTTAAGTGCTGGAAAAGCATAAAAATGCACCTTGAAAGTGCTAGAAAAGTGCTGGAATTTGAAGTTGGAAAAGGTGTAAGAACCCTGCATGTGCTGAAAGTTTAGTTTTTCTAGAATTGAGCTGTTAGTCTTGATTGAGCTGTTAATTTGAGCTTGATTGAGCTGTTAATTCCTGCAGATTTCAGTTGCAACCCTTATCAAACACACCTGTCTGTAATTCTCAAGTGGATTTCAGGTCCTAATTAATTGGTTCAGCTGGGTTTGATCAGGGTATGACCTAAACTGTACAGGAAGGTAGATCTCCAGAAACAGGATTGAGCACCCCTGGGCTAGAGGTTGGGTTATGGACAGGTTTGGTGGTATGGGTAAGTTTAAGGGTGGGTAGAGGTGTAAGGGATGGTCAACAGTGTATTTACAAATGTAATTACAAAAGTTAATTACAGATGTAATTACATGTATTTAATCAAGCTAAGTATATAGTAAATACATGTATTTACACAATAAGTACATTGTAACAAACTATTAATTCCGGTGTAAGTACATATTAGTTAAGGCCACTTAATATAAAGTAGGACCCAACTATTAAACACATTATATGGGTGCTTAAGTCAAGAATACAGCAGTTGTAGCTGCAAACTGCTTAGTAACCCTTATTAATGTAGAGTAATGAAGATAATGAATTCACTATTTGCTAATGCTCAATAAATGAGTTATAGTGTGTAGTTATTATAAAGTGTTACCAACATTTATTCAACACATCCATGTGTACGAGCTTTTTTTTTTAAATGCGATAATTCGTTTGACAGCACCAATAAAGATTGTATACAGGCCTAGCTATGTGTATGAATATGTTACTGTGTTATATAAAGATCAGATGCAAACACCGGTACACTTATACAAAGTCCAGGGGCCTCGTGTACGAAGACTTGCGTTGAATACTAAAACAATGCGTATGGACAAAGCTGTAAATGTGTGTCAAAAAAATCAGATGTATGAAACACTGCGTGCACGGAATCCCACGCATATTCTCTTTGTACATTAAAGAAATAAAAGACAACTGAAATAAAAGTACATACAAGTACGCCTAAATAAATAAAGCAGTGTTTTAGCCTAAATCAGTGGTTCTCAAAGTGGGGGTCACGAGACAATTAAGGGGGGTCGCCTGGTGATTTCCAAAAATCTATTTATTTATATTAAACCATAAGAATTACTATATTTTATCAATAAACTACTGAAGAGAAAAATTGTTGTTTATAGTTACTATATACTATATAGTTACTACAGTAGCTTATAGTTACTAGTTCTATTGGATTGCGACCCCTGGGGTAATTACATAATTTTAAAGACACACCAATAGCGTCAGATGCAGCAGATTGATTTTATAACATCAGGTTAAACTTTCTGGCACATTTACAGCTCTGATTTACATTTAAAAAAACTAAGAATAAACTTGGGTCTATTGGTGTGTGTGCGCTATTGCATGCAAGGTTTCTGTATATATAATCACCTCAGAGGATATTGGGGGTCGCGAGTCACTAGCATTGTTATTTTGGGGGTCACAAGCTAAAAAGTTTTGGAACCCCTGGCCTAAATATATAGAGATGTACAGTGTTTGTTATTTTTAAAAGTGATAGGATTAAGACAGTCATTGAATAAGCTTTTTTATTTACATTTTTGTTGTTGATTATATTTTACTATCTCATGTTATGTCGCAATTACTGTGCATAAATAATAAATCAATCATTAAATAGGCCTCAATAAATATTTATTTAAAGATATTACCAGCGAAACGGAGAAGCACATGGTCTAACGAGCTCAAGTTTAATGCTATGTAAATATGGTGCATATATTATTATTATTATGCATATATATTAATATGGGCTGTAATCTGCTTAAAAAGTAGAAGCTTGATGGTTTGATTTTGAATGAATTGTCTGTGATTTGGTCTTCAATAAAATGTGTTTTTATTTGCAGATGGAGTCCTTGACCTCTCGACTAAGAAGAATCACAGTCATGGTAGTGTCTCGCTGAAAAGCTCTCATGGTTTCTCAATCATGCCCACCATTAAGGGGTAAGAGTTCGTGTTTTTCCCCTAATTGTGAAAACTTAAAGCGTAGTGTTTAGGTCTAACATAAATCCGTCTAAAGTAAAATTTGATCAGTAATGTGCATTGCTAAGAGCTTCATATCGATAACTTTAAATGCTATCTTCTCAGTATTTCGATTTCATTTACCCCTCAGATTCTAGATTTTCAAACAGCCATACTGTATATTGTCTGATCACATTTTATTTTACTGGTCCGTTTGTTGAATTTAGGTTACATTGCATCTACATGCCAACTAATTCTCTTTCAAGAGTTCACACTTAGCTGATGATTGATTAAAATAAGATCATAAGATCCTCGAGTCCAGGGCTCCCTCCCATTAGCAGGGCGAGAGGGGAGTTTGAGCTCAGGTAGATCTGGAGAACTCCCCTGCTGTAGTAGCTAATGAACAGATAGTGATTGCTCTTAAGAGATAACTACTTACTAGGAGCATGTCTATGGTGCTGATTTGGATTAGTCAATTAACTTAAGTTGCATGTTTTTGGACGGTGGGGGGAAACCGGGAACCCAGGGGAAACCCACATGAGCATGGGAAGAACGTGTAAACACTGCACAGAAACGTCAGCTGGCTTGGTAAGAATTAGAACTAGTGTTGTTCTTGCTGTGAGGCAACAGTGCTAACCACTGGGCCACTGTGCCACCCATCAAGGAAAGGAGGAGGAGTAGGGGTGGAAGGGGGGATTCTTCAAAACGAAGATGGCTGTTATATGGAACTTAGGGTATTTATAGAGTGGAGGAACTATGACGTCACTTTGTAGGCTAATCGGCTGCTAGCATAAAACTGGTTCCCTCGTGAAAATCCCTATAGGATTTTCCCATAGGGTTTTCGAAGATTGCAAATAATAAGCTCTGTGTTCAAACACTGTTCATTACACTTACACGTTTTGTCCAGCCGGATAATTGTCACACGAAAATACAACTTTGAGCACTTTTGGATCTTAAATGCAAACGCAAGACTTGAAAAGCTAACATTAGGCTATAAACGGACTACAGTGCCCTCGGGGCGCTCATCAGTGACGTCAGCTCCACCCTGCTACAGACGACTTATCAAGCTTATTTTTAGAAATGATGTCCATAACAAAGAGTTAATCTCTCTGTTTATTATATTATAATCCACGCTATATATTATAAACTAATAAATAAGCAAAAACACATAGACCTTTGTGCCTTTTGGATCGTTTTTACGTGGGAAATACATCTGTTTTGTTTTGCGGTTGTTCTAAAAGTTTTAAGAATGTGTATGAATGTGCCTATATAGTATTATTATGAGACATATTTAAATAAGTGTATCGCTCGTGTGTACACAGCCCGCTTACCTTAACAGACTACAGAAATTAGGCGTGAGGAGGAACAAGTCTATCAAATGCCTGCAAGTTCCATCATGGACACAGAGCAACATTCAATATTCCTTTTTTGTCACGAAGTACAGCGAAAAGCAGCCCATACAGTCACATCTGCTGAACGTTTTATGGAGGAGTGTAAATACTGCAGTTAAATGTGTTCAGATGAAGAAAAAAAGACGAGAAATCACTTGATCACGTTAAAATGACAGTTAACATGCACGTATTTTTACACTATTTATTCACACGTTTGCATTACTAAGAGCAGGAAAGAAACAAGCTGCTGCACTGGTGAGCCGTATCTTCATAATATCGTTTAATTAAAATAAATGATCGACAAATTAGTCTGTCTCGACAGCCTTTACATGTGAAGGAATTATCTACACACAATTTGAATTCTCAATTAGAATAATACAACAAACTATAAAATACTATTCATGAAAATACCTAAATCACAGACAAATCCAAATGCCCAACACAAGTAAGCTGCGCTCCAGACCAGTCCGCTCAATGACGTATATTGTCCCCGACGCCGCCTATAGTCCCATTTAGCAACTTGATAGCAACCGTCTTTTTAAAGAAGCATAATCGATTTAAAAGTTGAAGAGTGTGCTGTAACTGATGTGTTTTATGTCGTAGAACAAAACGTGAAAGTATCTTGAGTTGGTGTTCGCCACGGACCTTATTTAAGCGATTTTACTGAAACCCCATTCAAAAAACCCATTGACTTTGGGACGAGGGAACCGGAAGTGCTAAAATGCTAACTCGCTTCCGGGTTTTTGTATACAAATTGACGTCATAGTTCCTCCACTCTATTGTGGCTTAGGAATCGTCTGATTGGTTAGTCATTAATTGGATAATGCGGGACCAGCCGCAAGCAATCATAAGCATGTGATCCTCTCGAAATTAGTTTAGAAATAAACTTCACATAGATTATAAGTAGACTGTTAGGTTGGGGTTAAGGTTAGTGTAAGTTGACATGTACTTGCAAAGTTTCTTACTGTCAGTTAAATCTCTGTTAAAGGAGCATGATCAACAGATATTAAGCAGACAGTCAACTAATACTCAAATGGACCACCAAAATAAAGTGTTACCTATTGTCCTAACAAAACGCACGTCAATGGAAATCATATATTCTGCTTTCGGATAATGCATAAATATGTAAATAAAAGTTATGACTGGTTTTGTGGTACAATATCACAAATGAAAACTGAAGAAACATCCCCAATTTTATTATTAAGAACTTCAATCCAAATCATTTAATACAAATATTAATACAGACGAGTCTTCGCTGAGGCCAGTTTCCAGCCTCCACTGCTGAGACTGCAGCTCTGCGCAAGACTTTTGGCCAGCGGAGAAATTAAAATGGTTGTGCCGAACTGAGTCTGGTTCTCTCAAGGTTTTTTTTCTTCACTCTTCTATTGGTGAAGTTTTTTTTCCCTCTCCGCTGTCGCCACTGGCTTGCATGGTTCAGGATCTGAAAAGCTACTCATCGATGAATTTTCTCTTCAGTGTTTGGACTCTCAGTAATGACTTCAAACCACACTGAACTGAGCTAAACTGAACTGAACTTAAACAATAAACACTGAACTACCCTGATCCAGTTACTATGACCATTTATGTGAAGCTGCTTTAACACAATCTACATTGTAAAAGCGCTGTACAAATAAAGCTGAATTGAATTAAAAATACATTACTGCACCAGTGTTTAAATGGTACTAACTATTAAGGACCAAAATTGGTACTCAAGTACATAAAACACCACAAAAGGAGTGAAATGTGTTTGTATCCGGTGCATAGATGCAGTTTTACAGTAAAGAACTTACATTTTACAGTGGGTAAGGATTGCTTTTGATTATTTAGTAATGCTTGAAAGGATAAAGGAGCCAGACTAATCTGAGTGGAGTGTCATCGGAGCACAATGGTGACAGTTTTATGGACAACCTCTTGTGGGAACTTCAATTTCCAGCCTAGAAGATCCATGTTAGGTCTCTTTTCTGTGCTATGGCACTCTACAGTATGAGGAGTATTGGAAAGTAGTACATTTTCAGTCAAAACAATCTTCTGAACAAAGTAGTCTCTGCCCACTTGAAAACAAACCATTGAGCTATTCAACCCAGTGGAGCAATGAACTAGGCTTCATCATGGTCTATTTGTTATTATGTGTGTTAGTTTGGATGTTAGGATGAGAATAAGAGGTTTAAATTTGGAGACAGGTTAAAGAAGAATAAAAGTGAAACTAAGTAATTCAAATTTAGTCAGAAGATCATATTTCTGAACAAACCTCGCAAAAGAGATGAAAATATATATTGATGAAGCCTTGATTCTTGCTCAGATTGATTAATAATAACAATAAGCTACAAAGAACGACCCGGAAATTCTGAAAGACAACTGATACAGTCATGTGAAAAAGTTTCACCCTACGAATTTCAATTGCTTTCATATCAGTATATAAGAAATGATCTGGGGCCTCATGCATCAACGCTGCGTACGCACAAAAACTTTGCGTACGCCAGGTTTCACGCTCAGAGTCGCTCACGTTTGGATTTACTAATGTTGATCTGAACGTGGGAATGTGCGCAGCTCCATGCCAGCTTTATGGCTGGCGTACGCACATTTTTTGTGCGTGTCTGTTTTATTTTCATTGGCGACTCCTAGAGGCAGTGGTGTTAAATTGCACCCTACAAAGTGTCTGAGCCGTGCAATGGCAGCTGTATGAGACGGGTTCATCTAGCAGGTATATAAGCTTTCCATACCATACAGTTGACCAGCCAAACATTAAAGCGCAATTTGCAGCGATCGCCGGTTTCCCCAATGTAATCGGAGCGATCTACCGCACGCACATTGCTATAAAGGCACCATCTGAAGATGAATTTGCATTCGTGAAACAGAAACAGAAACAGAAAAGTATGGAAATCATACTGAAACATTGCGTACGCACAAAGCTGTAAATGTGCGTGTAAATGTGCCGAATCCCACGCATATTCTTTGTACATCCGAATGAACGTGAAACTGAGCGCAACATGCACGAGCACAAAACCCTTCCCTGCCTCCTCCCCCGTATGAATATGCTAATGACTATGCTAATGGCAAAATCCAACGAAAAAGCAACGACAAAAGCAAGCAAGAAGAGAAACTTTGAACAGAATGTGAATTGGAGGTGATTTTTTCAGAGGTAGACCGGAGAAAAGTGGTGTTATTTGCAAGTTTATTTTCCGGAATCAACAACAAAAGAAAAAAATAGAGTGGGAGAGTTTAGCTGATGCAGTTAACACAGTTAAGTCTGAACATCGCACTGAGTGAATTAAAAACAGAAATATTCAATTTCCATTCAATAAATGTGCAAATAAAATATGATGCACAAACTTATTGATGATTCCTACTTGTCTTTCTCGTGATAAATAGTTGTCAAAATCTGATATGTAGCGGGGGAAAAAAGAAGAAAGAGTTCATCAGCCGCTGGATTCGAACCGAGTTCATGCTCGAACGTGTCAAAACATGTAGACCTGCGTTTTACGAGCTGCGCCACTGAGACTGTTGAAAGTGCTTTAACATTTTACACCTATAAATCACACTATTTCTGTTTTTAATTCACTCAGTGCGATGTTCAGACTTAACTGTGTTAACTGCATCAGCTAAACTCTCCCACTCTATTTTTTTCTTTTGTTGTTGATTCCGGAAAACAAACTTGCAAATAACACCGCTTTTCTCCGGTCTACCTCTGAAAAAAGCACCTCCAATTCACATTCTGTCCATAGTTTCTCTTCTTGCTTGCTTTTGCCGTTGCTTTTTCGTTGGGTTTTGCCAAAGTACAGTCATTAGCATATTCATACGGGGGAGGAGGCAGGGAGGGGTTTTGTGCTCGTGCATGTTGCGCTCAGTTTCACGTTCATTCGGATGTACAAAGAATATGCGTGAGATTCGTCTTACGCAGTGTTTCATACATCTGAATTTTTTTCTGCGTACGCTCATTTACAGCTTTGTGCGTACGCAATGTTTCAGTATGATTTCCACGCAAGTCTTCGTACATGAGGCCCCTGATCTTTGGCAAGTCTTTTAGGAAAATAAAACCTTGGATGAACAACAACATAAACAACATAATAACAACAACGACATATACCATTAGCAAAAAATAATTCACACTCACTATAAAAAAAATGCTGGGATCCACAATAGAAGTTTGTTTTGGGACAACAAGAAGGAATTAGGTTAACTTATTAGTTTACAAATTTACGTGGATTGAACTCAAAACACTTAAGTTGTACAGTATTGAGCACAAGAACAACTACACATGTATGCCATAATTGAAATAATTGAATCATTAATAATGTTCCACATTTTGACAATGATAGGATTGGACCTAATAGTCTTAATAAAACTTCCCACAAAAGTCCTACTTTTTTCTAGAAGACAACAGAATTGATCATGTCCACCAAGTTCAGGACTTTATTCCAGTAACCTAACCTGTTCTCACATATGAACATCTTATTTTTCTACAAACTAGGCGTTCCCAGAGAGCTGATCACAACTATCGAGATGTTGACGATGAGGACGGCTTGCCACCGAGAAGCTTGCATGATGGGATAAGGGAGAACTGTATTGGTTCTGTACCCCTCAAGCCACCGTTGGCCCGCTCACTCCTTATAAAAGAGGAACTGTTGAGCCAGAAACATCGCCTCCTTGGCCAACCAACACCTCTTTCTTTGGCTAGCCTAGAGTCTGTGGGTCTCCTCAACAGCCAAGCCCAGTCTCTACTGTCCCGTGACGGTGCATGGGGGAAATCCCATTTGGACGGCCTCCTGAAGCTCAAACAAGACCTAAATGACCTGCCTCTTTTCCAGGAGAACCAAGGCGTGTTCACCAAGGGTTCAAAGTCCCATGACACTAGTCCCATCACGGTGAAGAAAGAGCCAGGGCATTCCCCTCCGGTGGACCTGAAGATCCCGCAAGTCCGAGGCATGGATCTGTCTTGGGACTCCCATGGGAACTCCTCAGATATCTACAGTTACAGCTCTTTAGCACTGAGCAACGTGCACTCAGAGAACGCACTCAGCAGGAAACTGAGAGCCATCTTGCCAAAGCAGAGTCGCCGGGCCGCTCTCGGAGGCCTTCTGGATGCAGGAGCTGTAGGCGAGTACTGGGGTGCAGACTTGGACCAGCCATCCTTGGGACCTCAGTACCCAACATCGGATCCCGAGGGAGACCCAACAGGCTCCAAGCAACCCCGAAAGAAACGGGGACGGTATCGGCAGTACAACAGCGAGATTCTCGAAGAAGCCATTGCTGTGGTGATGAGTGGGAAGATGAGCGTTTCGAAGGCGCAGAACATCTATGGGATCCCCCACAGCACCTTGGAGTACAAGGTGAAAGAGAGGATGGGCACACTGAAGAACCCGCCAAAGAAAAAGCTTAAACTGATGATGAGGGCAGAGGGGCAGGACTCCGGGATCACCGGCGAAACCGAATCCATGTCAACGCCCGCCACCACACCCGTCGCAACGCAAGTGGACGTCTTGCAGGGGACAGGAGACAAAGTCGAGTAGATTACACAGAACACCTCATTTTAAAATGGAGAAAGTTTTAAATTCTGACAGACACAAACAAACAAACAAACAAAACCTAAAATGATTTGGAATTGGAGGATGGGGCTTTAATTGTGCCAATTTACTTGCAGTATCTGGGTGAGCACAACTGCAGGGATTCATGGGAGGATTTAAGCCTGATAACTGGGGATTAAGAAACCAATTGGCAGTTATCACAGTGGTCGACACTGCAAGCATTTGCTGATGTTTTTTTTTACAACAAAGCAACAAATGCGTACTAAAGCCATAAGAGAGTATCGACAGAGACGTTTTATTTAAAAAAAAAAAGAAAAGCAAGCAGATTAACCCTTTGTTCGCCCCCTTCGTCTGAACTTTGCGAGCTCTGCCCTTAGTGCTCATGCGTTTTGGACGGCATGCCATTTTGAGAAACGAGAAGTGGGGTTTGAAGGGTTTATGTGCAAGGCTGGAAATGAACCCTTCGAAAGTGAGTCCTCTGATTGGTAGGTTTATGAAAGGATTCAAAATCTTTAAAAACAAATTATTTATTTCAAATGGAGTTGACAAGGATTCTCACCAGGGATCAATCCTAGCCCCGTTTTTCTATTAACAGGTAAACGTTTGCTTTCAACTCTTTGTAGTTTCCTCCTTTTATAATCTGCACCATTGAAAGACAAATTTAGACACGTCCATTTAAAAAAAAAAAAGATGAAGCTTAAGATTAGTCATTCAGGGATGCATGTTTGTGATGTTGAAAAGATTTTCGTTTTGTTTTTACTTTTACTTTACTGTAACTAAACTTTTCTTTAACTCTTAACGCTTTCTTTTGCACTACACTTTCAGTCTGGCGCTCGCCAGAGCCTAAATCTGGCAATTAGACCTGATTACCTCGACACTGCTTGCATTACGCACTTACTGTTCTGTCTGGCATACTACATCACACTCATTTTACAGTACTATACTCTAGGTGAGAGCCTCGCTCTTAAAAGGTTTCCAACTCCCATGAAGGGACAATGCCGATTTTTAAAACCACACAGGACAGGAACGTGTTTTCAATTCACATCTTTCTACTAAAATGAATCGAGGGAGGGTGCGCGCAGTCAATTTTGGGCTGTTTCTGGCTGCTCCCTCATCGCTGCTTATAGTCAGTTGCTGACGTGTATATTTATAAAAAAAAAAGAAGAGCATTTTTTTGGCAAAGGGGGTTGGTTTTGGGGAGGGGGGATATATGTAGGTAGGGTTATGACCACATAACCCTGTTATATTATAAATTAGCGTTCTTTCAGAGAGCCAATTCTAGTCTCTGAATAATTCCTCATGTAAAACTCAGGGCAACTGAGACAAATATAGCGATCGTGTGTTTCGAAACAATGCATCTTACCTACTTGAACTGGAACCTGTGACACATTCTCAGTCAATGAGTTGAGTCAGGGGGAGGGCTTTATAGGTTGGGTCGAGCTGAGCCATGGATTGCAGATATCGGTGGGGTGTGATCATTCAAAAAAAACACCTGGCCAGTTGGAAATTTTCTGAGATCTCTCCGAAAATAGCACTTTGTTTAAAACAGAAAGAAAATACAAGCGGATATGTTTGGGCGTGTGATTTTAAAGTAGCTTTCGCAGTAGCAGATAGCATAAAGATGACTTGTGAGATCCAAAAGAGCGAGCGTTCAGTGACCTCCGCCGTCCTGCAGCTTAGACCCAAACATGCTCATTCTTGTTTTGAAAGAATTACCTCTTCAATATACAGTGGTCGACACCTTGAATCTTCAGATTTGTCTAGTGTTGCCTCACTGTTTATCGTCACATCGCCCCTCCCATTTTCAAATCTAAACCGTGTCGTCTGATGTATATATAAAAAGAAAAGAAAAAAAAAAGAAGCGCATAGATCTGTGAAGATTTCAAAGAGAAGGCTTTTGGAATGGCATGCTCCACTTTGATGATGTTGTTTGAAGGGCATTCTGGTTTATCACTGCCTGGTGCTCACCCAGTCTGTGACGAAAATTATTACTTCAAACTTCAGGGTTTCTGCTGATGAAACTGACTCTTTGAAATGTACCCTTTATTTATTTCCTTATTTAAGTTTGAATCATTTACGTAAATGGCATGCACCAGTTCAGTGGAGGCTGATTAGTTATTTATAATCTGGCACTTTGGTCGCGGGTTTAAAAAAAAGGGGGGGGGGGGGGGGTGATGCTGTTCGGGGCTCACCTTTTGTAATCAGATGAAATCAAGTCATTTCCCACCATACGTTAGACTTGTATATAGTGGGCGATTTTTTTCACAACACTATAAGTTGTCATGTATTTATTATCTCATTAAGCAAAGGGCATTTTAAACTCAATGGCTTTGCTTTTTGTGAAGACTACTGAAATTATTTATCTATTTAGTTCAGTGATTACGAAGTATAAATAATCTACTGGATTTTAGCATCATATTCAGGCGTATAACCTTACAGTGTAATTCTGTTTTGGCCATCGGCATCAAATGCACCAACACTTTACCAATGCTGAGCGTTCGAAGTGTCTAATTAATTAGTCCTTAATCAATCAATCAATCTTCCAAATTAATTTATTAATCATTTTGATGTAAAATACAAGTCAGTTATGCTTGATTCTTACTATTTAAATGTATTTAACCAGTATTTTTGTCTTGTTTAACAATAAGAAATATCCATAAAACAAATAGGGCTGTGCGATATGACAAATTTCATATAGATATCAATAGATATCATGATATAGTACAGTTTCTGTAAATTAAAGGAATTGGAGTGTTTACTTTTGCCAATTAAAATGTATTCAATCAATGCACTCATATTTCTCACGGTATTTAGAAATTAAGACTAATTATTTAATTAAAAATGCACAAATATTAAGCAAATATTAATAAAAACATTTCAAAACTAATTATTTTAGGTCCAGCTAAATAAAATGCAACATGTAAACATTGTGTTTTCAAGATCTTAGCTTTCTCACAATACTGTTACTCATGTTTCTCTCATCATCCTGGTAATGGCGCGTCATATTGCGTTTGTATAAATTGAGCGAGCTCAATTTAAATAACTAAATAAGTATTGACGCAAACAATGCATTTTGTGAAACTGCAGCATAAATGACAGAGCATAAACACAAACGATTCACGTATCCTCATATCGCACAGCCCTAAAAACAAGATGTTTTAAATGTCCCATGAAATTAAAATAACATTTTGTTAGATGTTAGTATCAGTATTATTCGTTTTTAGGTTTTTTAAAAGCTAATGTTCCCCAAAACAGTGACCAAATTTGCATTTAGAAGATAAAAAACTGATGTAAACATGTCACTTCCGTTTTTATTTACGTCAAGTCACACTACAGTTTCTCAGCAAATCATAACCAATCAAGTGCTCTCTAGTATCTGACAAGGCCCGCCCACTTCAATTAACTTTTTATTAGATGCGCTTGAGCTTAACCGCTCTCACTAGGTGAGCTGTGCTAAAACAAAACACCATTTTCACCACCTTTTTTTAAAAGGGGAGGGGCTACGCTACGTATCGCCCTCTTTCATGTTTCGAATAAGATTACGTCAAATATCGAATATAAGTGCACATTTTAAAGCCCTTCATGAGACCTTTAAGAATATTTTAAACGTTTTTGTTTTTTGGATACATTTTGTCGGACTATCCAATAAAACGTCTTTGTCAATCGGAAATGATCGCGTATCCTCATGTCGCACAGCCCTAAAAACAAGATGTTTTAAAGGTCCCATGAAATAAAAATTAAAATAACGTTTTGTTAGACATTAGTATCAGTATTATTTGTTTTTAGCATTTCTGAAAGCTAATGTTCCCTAAAACAGTGACAAAACTCGCTTTTAGAAGATATAAAACTGATTTAAACATGTAAAGCTCGTCACTTCCGCCTAAAGGGATCAATGTTTTTATGTTTACTCACACTACAGTTCTCAGCAAATCATAACCAATCAAATGCTCTCTAGTATCTGACAAGCCCCGCCCCCTTCAAGATGCTTTTACATTAGATGCACTTAAACAAAACACGATTGTCCGTTTAAAAAGAGAGGAGCAACACTATGCCCCGCCCACTTTTCATGTTTCGAATGAGATTACGTCAAACATCAAATAAAAATGTGCACTTCAAGGGACCTTTAAAAATATTTAAAATGTTTTTGTTTTATGGATGCATTTTGTCAGACTATCCAATATTATGTTTTTGTTCAATCGGAACTGATTCGCGTATCCTCATGTCGCACAGCCCTAAGACAAGATGTTTTAAAGGTCCCATAAAATAAAAATAAAATAATGTTTTGTTAGACATTAGTATCAGTATTATTTGTTTTTAGCAATTCTACAAGCTAATGTTCCTCAAAACAGTGACAAAATTCCCATTTAGAAGATATAAAACTGATTTAAACATGTAAAGCTCGTCACTTCCGCCTAAATGAATCAACGTTTTTATTTACGTCAACTCGCACTACAGTTTCTCATCACATAATAACCAATTAAAAGCTCTCTAGTATCTGACAAGCCCCGCCCCATTCAAGATGCTTTACATTAGATGCGCTAACAAAACACGATTAACCGTTTAAAAAATAAGGAGGTGCTACACTATGTCCCGCCCACTTTTCGTGTTTCGAATGAGATTACGTCAAACATCAAGTAAAAATGCACATTTCAAAGCACTTCAAGGGACTTTTAAGAATCTTTTAAACGTTGTTTTTGTTTTATGGATACATTTCGTCAGACTATCAAATAAAACGTTTTTGTTCAACCGAAAAACAAGATGAAAATATTACTTTGGAGCGCAACTAATCAATTATTATAAGCAGTAGATAAGTAGCTACAACTAGATTAGTTGTATTAGTTGCAACTATTATTAGACTAGTGCGAATTGATTCTATTATAATCGAATATGTCCAATTAAATTGGCACTTATTACTGCACTGATGGCCCAGACTGATGTTTTGCAGCACTTAAATCTTCAAGGAAAAAAAATCCGCTCACCTCTCTATTGTCAATCTTTGAAAGTTTTGAACTTTCCCATTGCTACTGTAAGATTATCCTGTCAGCTTTCTGATTCACTCCGGTGCATGCCATTTCAGCATATTTATTTCATTTGACTAATTAATGTATTACAGGGTTAACGGCTCCCCCTGGCCCCAAAAACAAACAAAACAAAAAAAAAAAAAAACATCCCCTGTTGAACAGAAACGACACCGTCTTTACACAAATGAATGTAAAACCATTTCCGGAAAATTTCGTAAACTAGTGGTTTCGAAATACAAACACGGCACTTTCACATTTCATACTTTAAACAGACTGTTTTAGTTATGTTCTCTTGCTGCTCGCGCTCGTTTCGATAGTTGTTTTATTTAGCGTTTCTCTGAAACGTACACCTGTAGCCTTCAGTACTTTCGTATCTCAGGATAGCTTCAACAGAAGGGTTCGCAATATTTGTCAGTCGGATTACGATGCAGACATAACTACCTGTACAAGAAGCGCAATCGACATGCTACATTAACCGTAGTCTATGCGCGATATACCTCATCCTCGGGAATAAACGCACCTTTCTGTGCCACATCCTTAAAAAAATACCATTCAGGGGCACATAGAAAAGGCGCAGTTGAAACTCTGGGAAGTTCGTTTTATTTCTCCCTCTTTCTTGTCTCCTACGAGAGGGATTTCTGGGAAGCGAGGCATTTCATGTGTCTGACTGACCAATATTTACACCCGGATTTTTTTCATTCAGGTACAGAAATCGAATGTTTTGAATACAATCAAAATTTTCGCGTCATGCCAATAACGGGTCTCATCCTTTAAGTTTGATCGTGAAGGCCTATATATATCGATATCTATCATGACACAATCTCTTTCCTGTACGCTGAAAAAAGAACACATGAAAAGGGGAAAGTTACGGGACAGGTGGAAATGTTAACCTTCTGTTGTTGTTTTTTTTTGTGCTCTCTGTAAACTTGTTTTTCTTAAACTGCATTCCAAAAATTTCAAGAGATACCTTTATATGGATGAAGAAGAAAATCTATACATATACAAATGAATATATTATTTATTTTACTGTTTATCTTTTTATTTGTCTTGTTGTTGTTTTTTTTTTAGTTCGTTTTTTTTTTTCTGGGTGAAATTGAAATGCTACACAAAGAAACGTTGGAAATCGACGCTGACAGCTACAACCTCACTTTCTGTACCACATATATGAAGTGCCATTTGTTTTGTCTCAAGTGGCTCACATTGATTTTCTTTCTGAAAAGATGCTCAAATAGCCTTTTTCTTTGATTTTAAAGTTCTGTCGATACGTTTTCGACCTCCACTGCATATCCACATAACAGCATTACCTCAGGTGAGAATCTCTCCAGAGCAGCTGATTCTGCATTCACGTGCAGAAATCAGGAACTGTACTTGACTTTTACACACACACACACACACACACACAAAAACACTATTACTTTCCAAGGAAGCAGTTTATAAATGACACTAGTCACATTTTTTTTTGTTTGTTTGTTTAAAGATGATTGCTTTGCTTAACTGAACCACGGGTCTATTTTGAAAGCAACTTTTAATCGACGTTAGCACAGGAAAGTTGAAATCAATACGGCACACTTTGTACTCCGCAATTAATACGCCATCAGGTCTGCATTTTTACACTTTAAGGCTATCGGTTTGATTGAACTAGTTGCTTGTAACTTCAGAAACAATCTGAAAAGGCTAATATGATTACACGTATACACTCCGAATGAGATTTCTCAATACATGTCTATTTATAACTGCCAATTAAATACACTTTACTTCATTTATTGCGTCTTAGGAGTTGAATTAAGTCCTGAATAACGTTGTGATGTTGCAAGTTTTGTTTTCTAATAAGTATTTTAGCATAAGTTACATGAATAGGCACACCTTTACTCAACAGAAAGCATTGTTTTTCAATTTAATAGGAAGAAAATTGTCGGCAAACACCGCAGTCCAGTTTGATTTTAGATTTAAAGTTGATCTATGCACTTGAGAGGGTGAAGTTACTTGCACCATTACTGTCTGCCGTGTTTGTGATTATATCAAGTATTAAGGGTCACTTTGTTCTTCGTTGGCATAAACGTTTATTCGATTTGCAGCAGCGCTGCTTAAAATAGCTGTTGTCATGGCACAGCTTGCAGCCATGGTAAAAGACATGTTTTGAATGTAACCTCACAACACACACACACAAGAGATGGAGTATGTTCAGAATAGTGCGTTACTGTGTACATTATGCATTTGATTTTGGTGTCATCCGGAGTGCCTGTTTTGCAGCGTTCAATCGTCACTGATCGTTTGATAATTGCATTCAATCATCGTTACACGACTAGTCGTGTGCGATAACAATGAGCCTACGATATGCATTGATAATTGGTAACAACAATCGGAAAAATCACCAACCAAGGCGACTTACAATCGACGTATTTTCTTATACTCCATTCAGTCAGTGTCGTCTTGATTACTTTAATGCAATTAAATAATTAAATAAATCTTTTTATATACTGGTGAAGTGTGTGATTTCTAATTGGAAATTGTTTGATTTTTAAATTGCGTTTCAAAACAAAGTCCTGGTTTGCTATTGGTCCACGAAGTGATATCCACACCTACAACTGTTTCTATATAATAAACCCCGCCCACTTCTCAAGCAGGCCCATGAAGGCTGATTTATACTTCTTGCCCAGTCGCATCGCCCTCTCTGTCGCTTCTGGATGAACCGACACCAACCTCTCAAAAAAATGTAACTACATGTCGCAACAACGCCTAGCACAAGCTCTATGATTGGTCGACCAGTGACCAGTGTTGGCAAGCTGAGAGCTATGAGCCCAATGGAGCCAGTGGAGCTCCAGAGTCCGTTCTTCGTACCTCGCTTAATTGATCTAAGATGATTTGACAGATCTGGAATCTTTCAAGCTTCATAACTGATCTCTGGCTAATTTGGTTCTTCAAACAAGTTCGTGAATCACATTAAAATGTGATATAGATATATATATATAATTATATTATATAATAATATGATATAATATACATATTTAATTAGCCTATATATATATATATATATATATATATATATATATATATATATATATATAAGTAAAAAATATATAAGTAAAAAAAAAAAATATATATATATATATATATATATATATATATATAAGTAAAAAAAAATTATATATATATATATATATATATATAGGCTAATTAAACTTATGCAATCTGCACTCCGAAATAAAAATTACAAAGACTGCCACCTGGTGGTTTAAAGAGAAAATGTATTCATATAAACTTTTTACATACAAACGGGTACAATCACTTCAGTACAATTTGTGTGTGATAATAGACATGCACAATATTCGACTTATTTTAAAGGAATAATACATTTATGCAGTCATCAACATGTTTCGACAGCTAATGTGACGGTGATTTGATGCTTCACAAAAGTTCCAGACATCTTTACCAACATCAAAATGCTTTTGTGATGCAAAATTCATTTAAACATCCAGTTATTCTTTACACCCATAAAGAAACTGGCTACTATAATAATATTATGGCTACTATATTAAAGAAAATCCACTCTAATTGTAAAACTAAAAAAATTGCTAAATACTCTTGAAGCCTGTAGACCACAACAAAGGTGGAAAATTATCGTGTATCATATTTAACAAACCGTTTACTACGAATTGTATGTATTTTCGCTCACATGGATGATAATTGAATATTAATTAGATGATGTCATTCCGCTGCTGTGCCGTCAGCCAATCGCATTGCTGATCATGATTGCACATCTATAGATCTGTCCTTCACAACACATGCAGCGATCTCAGATCAGTTAATCCTGTCATTTTAATCTGATTCGCGAACTTGTTTAAAGAACCAAATTAGCCAGAGGTCAGTTATCAAGATTAACAGATCCAGGATCTGCCAAATCATCTTAAATCATTTAAGCAAGGTACGAAGAACGGACCCTGATGGAAACTTTCGTTTTGTGTTTACCTTATGATTAAAGTTGTTGCGCGTCCGCCGGTTCCCACCTCAGAGTAAGCAAATTTAAGCTACTTCTACATTAAGGTAGCGTTCAGAAAAAACTAAGCACCAGCGAAGAAACTCGACACAGAGGAACACGAAAGCCTACTGCCAGCTAGTGATTTAGAAGTGTTATTGCAGAACAACACAAACAGCACGCAGGAGTATAAATACACAACTACACTCAAGGCATGCGCCGTGGGTCACACTGATCACTCGACGCAGAAGTATAAACCAGCCTTTATTTCCCATATATGGATTTAAAAAACACTTGAGACTGAATTAAACCATTGGACTATGAGGAGAATTACAACATGACAAACATTCATTTGAAGCAAAAACATAAATAAATTTGATGAAAAGGCAAAACGTACAAGACTTTTTTTAAGTTACAAACTACAATTTCATTAAAAACATTGAAAACAATTCATTTTAGCTTGGTGTACCTCCAGTCACTCAGAAACGGGGACAGAATACAGCATTTCACCTACACTAAATGACACACTTCATCTTTAAAACGAAACGTTCCTGCAAAGGCTTAAGAGAAACTGTGAATTATATGGAGCAGAGCCATGAGAAGTCGACACCAGACCGCTACCTCTACAACGTAACATTAGTGTGGATGACAATGAAGACTTTTCAAGTCATTCCTAAAGAAGTTCAATGCCTAGCTCAGTGAGAGGTCAAATTGAGCTGTGAAAAACGCAAATGAAGGAGGAAAATGGGCTTGATCAAATGATCAGCGCTTTTCTAGAGAAACGCTTTTGGCTGCCCTTGTGTTGCCATGACAATCTTGCAAGATCATTCGCAAGTAAAGGTGTGCCTATTCTAGCTCCAGGCTTTCATTTAAGCAAAATACACATTCTTTTCCAGCAAATCATGCATTCCCAGTATTTTATCAGTGATTTCAACACTCAAATGAACGCCAATTCTTTTTGTAGTTCTGTCGATTTCTCTGAGACGCGAAGAACGTTGCGATATTTCCACACAAGATCCCCTCAGTCTTATTGCCGGAATCTGCTCTTGACCATTACGTTCATCCATGACTGTTTCAACCCTGCAGTCCATTGAGTTCTGTGGGATTAGGATTATTAGTTTTGCTACCTCAACTTGCAGATGGTTTTGACGTAGGAGCCCTTTTTGGTAGTGACGCAAAAACGTATCTTGAGGGACTGAGCGTCCCTGAAGGCTTTTGTCGGTCAGGTTGTAGGAACGTTGTTTGATCGGCTTTCCTGCTGTACTGTATGTAGCATTTCAGATGCACGGATAACACTGGCTCGTCATTCCAAAAGTCACAGTCCCATTTTGTCGGAAAGCGGTTAAACATTTCGCACATACATGTACCTAATAAACCGATAAAGGTAACGGTTCTTTTAGGACCGATTGGTCCTGAGTTATGCATCTTAACTGCTTCTTAGACCAGTGTTTGGGAAGAAAATCAGGTTGACCGATCACCTCTAAAGTAAGTTGGAAACGCGTTGTTTATGTGTATTTCCTTGAAAATCTAGTATAGTCATGCCATACCTATGAGTTTGTGCCCTTAAAATTCAAGCCAAATGCAGTCTGTGGGCAGTATATATTCGTTTTTTGCAAGACCTGCATTGCATTCATTGTTGGCGTGCATCTTATCCTTAAGGTGCTGCGCTTCACTTTCAGTGGATTTTTTTCCATGTATGGAGTCGAAGCTTTATGGAGCAAAAAATGCCTTTTGCTATCTGTTCGGCTGTGTATCTGCAAGTACTTTTAAAAAGTTTCGTAAAACGTTGTAAAGGTTCAGTTGTAGAATGACGATTGGATCCCTATCTCCCGAACCCCCTCAGGTTAATGCATGAGAGTGGAATGATTAGGCTCGGCTACAGATTGAGATGACCTTTTCTATATTTCCTGATTCTATTGATGTTGTTATGACTTCGGTTTTAAATCAAAAAGCTTGCCTTTACTTTCTTTAATACACCAGTATCGAAAAGTAACAGCCCGTCATTCAGAATCCCACCAGTATAGTGGTCTAAAACGTTTTTTTATTTGCAATACCTAATTTACGTGGGGAAATGAGCAAGGCAATACTCGTGATTTAAGTCCCCTCGACTTGAGAAAAGTGAGTTTGTTGTCGCCGGCCCGTTCGCCCAACAGCCAGACAACTGAACTCAACGTCCTTATCAGAGCGCCTTTCGCATTTTGAAAAGATTCAGCCAAATATCCTTAGTTCAGTGCTTTATAAACAGCGAGGATTGTAAAGTACGAATTACCTGAGGAAACAAAAAACAATGAACACTCGAACTTTAGATCTTTCGTTCGGTCCCTCGAGACCCACAAGGCCACAAAGACTATTTTGTTTCTGATGTCTGTACATTGTGTGATAATGTTTCAACTTAAAGAAAAAAACCTTACAACGCAGA